TGCGACGTCTCCCGCCTACCGAATGGAAGCCGAGCCTCGGAAAAAAAGCTAGAAAACATGAGCTCAGCCGGCTGCCATCGGCGGGAGGACAGCGACATGCCCTCAAATATGCACTGGCCGCAGCCTCTCGCATGGAAGCCGAGCCTCGTCTAAATAAGGTCGTCTGGCCACCGCCGGCCTAATAGAAACAGCTACCCGCCGCCTGCTACACCGCCACACCCAGCCAAACGATACCATTTAATTCGTCAGAGAAAGATAAACAGCGCCATCTTATAATAATAATAATAATACAGACATTTATAACGCGCAACATATCCACCCAGAGGGTGCTCAAGGCGCTTACAATGAGTAAAATAATATACTTAGATACAATTTTGCTTACATTACATTATACAGTGTGTCCCGAAAAAAACTATACACTTTTGAAATGGCTGCCGAATAAAAAATATATGATTCTAGGGGAAAAAGTTGTATATGTATGGAAAGCCCATAAACTCAACTTTCATATGACACCAACAAGTTTGAAAATAATTCATGCTTGGGTGAGCACTGCTCACTTTTGTAAAGGGTATGACAATTAGGTTGCGCAGGAATTAGCCTTCCAATGTGTGAGAGGTAAATCCTTTGGAGCTTACAACATTGAGGGTGATATGATAAATTCATGATTTGCTGAGTGAATTCCATGGTTTATTAAACCAAACTTTTATGCACGGAACGGGAATTTCCTTTTTCCATTGTAGCATTGTAACTTTCCCTGGTAGACTCAGTGGTGTGTTCATGAGAGTCAGGATGGGGTGATGGTACATGTTGTAATTTCCATGTTACAAACTGTTATTTTTTACATTTGTGACTTTGAATAAAAACCTTCACCCCACATTTCAGTTACCATTTACCTGAAGAATAAGTAGCCGACATCTTGGACATTCCTTTTTTCAACAAACCGTATTTGAATATTCGATTTACATTATCCCTACCTGGGTATTGAATAAATCAATGAGATGTTCAACTAATCTTACAATAATTGAAATGTGGGGTGAAGGTTTTTATTCAAAGTCACAGATGTAAGAGAATAACAGTTTGTAACATGGAAATTACAACATGTACCATCACCCCCATCCTGACTCCCATGAACACACCACTGAGTCTAACAGGGAAGTTACAGTGCTACAATAAAAAATGCAATTCCTGTTCACTCATGCATAAAATGTTAATCCCATAAACCAAACATTTCACTCAGCAAACCCAAACTCATCACAATTGATCATAAATTGGTCATATCATCCTCAATTCCGTAAGCTCCAAAGGATTTACCTCTCACACATTGGAAGGCTAATTCCTGCGCAACCTAATTTTCATACCCTTTACAAAAGTGAGCAGTGCTCACCCGAGCATGAATTATTTTCGCAACTTTTGGTGTCATATGAAGGTTGAGTATATGAGCTTTCCATACATATATAACTTTTCCCCTAGAATCATATATTTGTTATTCGGCAGCCATTTCAAAAGTGTATAGTTTTTTTTCGGGACACACTGTACATGGTTATAAAAAAAGAAGAAGATGATATTAGTTAAAGTTGGCCATTAGATATCATCACTGATGAATAACTCGAAAAAACAGTATAGCCTGGCGGAAATTAACTTTTCAGATTGGACAGCCGTATAAACCTAACAACAACAACAATTCACTAGAGACAAATTACGTGGTCTTACTTTGCTAATATGCCTTTATCAATTAAAAGACCAGTCGTACCGTGGAAATCTTCGGGCTCACTTCATTTAGATACACCCTGCATCTAAATGGATTAGATGCCATGTATTTTATATTTGACAAAATAATTTTGGGAACAATCTAAGATTTGCTATTTTAAATTACTGGCTCGCCTATCGTCTATAATATACAAATGATATGTTTGTGTTTATTTGTGTTATGCTTCAATGATATTAATCCTATAATATACCTTACTTTAAGAATCTTTCCTAATCCTGCCATCTGAGTGGTTAAAAGTGAAGTCGTATTTTTAACTATGCCCGCCAAAATGTTATCTTTGTCAAGTCGAGGTGAGGGAGATAATATTATCTTTGTCAAGTCAAGGCGAAACAGATAATATTTATATTATATTATAAATCAAGAATGAACAGGTACGAAATACAAAAGAAGAAGAAAATGAGAATGAAAATGAAAAGAATAAATGTACATATATTTGAAAACATTATGGTAAAAAATAAAGTGCAACACAATGCTGGTGTATTGCAGTGTGCATTGTCTGCCTTCAGAGAGTTAACAGTTCTCAGTAAGTTTTGATATATGTGATGTTATGATTCTTCACTACCATTCTAAAGCTTACAAACTTAGTTGTAATGAAAGTCAAATCTTAAAATGGGGGATTTGGAAAAGAGCGACGTTAAGACAAAAACTATATCAACACATTCTGGCTTTACAATACGCATATAGTATTGTAGGACTATACAAAGTTTGTTTGTGTAGTCCCATATACATATTTCTATGTACGGTGCTTGTTACTTTATAACCAAGGCTTGGCCAAATTTCTTATCATTTTGATGGTTTCAGAACCGTGCAGTACAAACCAATACGTATTTGTTACATGATCAACCTAAATATACATTTTGCACCCCCTTAGTTTCAGATCAATTTTGCGCCCCCTCAATAAAATATAAATTTTGCGTCCCTTTAATGAAATATATATTTTGCGCCCCCTAAATTTCAGATCAATTTTGCGCTTTCTCAATTAGATATACATTTCTGCCCCATAAGTTTCAATTCAATTTTGCGCCCCCCCCCCCTCAGTTTCAGATCAATTTTGCACCCCTTCGATGAAAGTTCTCTTTTGCGCCCCCTTTTTAGTTGAAGATAGATGTTGCGCCCCCCTCAGTTTAAGATATATTTTGCGCCCCCTCAATCGAATATAAAAATTCCTGCCCCTTAGCTTCAGATCATGTTTGCGCCCTCTCAATAAAAGATCAATTTAGCGACCCCCCCCCCCCCCCGAAGTTTCAGATCAATTTTTCGCTATCTCAGTAAAAGGTAAATTTTGCGCCCCCTCAATAAAATATGTCTTTTCCGCCAGCTAAGTATTAGATCAATTTTGCAACCCCTTAATTAATCAGCCCTGTTATTTTGCTGTTCCTTTTTTTTGTTATATACTTTCGATTAATTCGCTCTAAATCTATCACCTTCACTTTAATACGGCGCATAAAATGTGAACGCAACGTAGCCATAGGATGGAAGGCACGTTTGAAAAAGAAAGGGAGAATGAGAGAGAGAGAGAGAGAGATAGAGAGGGGCGGGGCGGGGGAGGGAGTTGATAACCAAAGGGCAACCTTTGACCCATGTATTGTTCGGGAAATCCATGCAATACTGTTTAATGCGCCCATAGGCCTGCAGGGATTTCGAATAGAGTCCCTTTAATATACATAGAGTTGCGACACGAAGCGTCCGTTTTGTTGCGTTTTGTTGGAAACAGAAGTGGCGTTTGAATTATAAATTGGACATGCATGGAGTAATCCGTTGATTGAGTGAAAAAAGCCCGGATGTGTGCGGTATGGAAAATTTATGCATGCTATTAATGGCGTGCGACCCATGCCCCCGACGTGCCGGGCAGCATGCTAAAACATTTTTGACGTCATGCTTTACTCAATATATTTACAGAACATTCGTGAAACATTGAACATCAGACAAATCTAAAAAATTAAGAATGAATCACCCCGCCCCCCCCCTTCACACACCTATGCATTTCCGATTTGGGTGATTCAAGTAATGCTACGTTTACACTATGTTCCCGGTGGCCACGGCAGCCCCGTTTGCCCGAAACGTAGTGCGCCGCGGGATTTTAGCAATATTTTTCACTGTGTTCAAGTTTTGTTAGGTCTTGTCAAGTTTTCTCACGGTCTTTCCAGGTATCCGTGACGGGCCGTGCGGGGAAAGGGGCTGCTGAGTCCCGGAGGCTCCAAGGCGCACTACGGTTCGGCCCCGGTCTACCACAGATGCCAGTTCATTCCCTGCCGGATCGTCACGGGTTGATGGGGGTCTCTCACGTTTCTCACGTTCTGGTCAAGGTCTGACACGTTTTTCACGTTCTGTCAAGGCTTTCTGCGGATGAAACGTGGACGCCGGGCTGCGTTGGAGCACGGTTGTGCCCACGGTATAAAAAGAAGGCCTCCCAGGCAATAATGTACAGCGTAGGATGCTGCTGGAGGAAGTCAATGATGAGCTCCGTCTCATCCTCCGTAAAGGTGGTGACGACCCTGGGGGCTGCCCTCCTCCTAGCTGGTGCGTCTTCCTCCGCCTCCTCAGCCTCATGTTCAGGTTCCAGTTCAGGGACCGGGTCAGCAGCAGCAGCATGCTTCTCTTTATTTGGCAGGGGTGAACGGCGAGGATCTTCAGGATGTTCCTGCTCCTCTACTGGTGCAGGACGGAGGGCCTTCGAACGTCTTGCTTCTTCGGTGGGCATAGCTTGACCTTCTTTCTTCGTATTGTAGATGCAGTAATGTGTCGTCGATTGCTCAGACTCGAATGAAGCTCCTGCCGCGCCCGTCTTTTATATACTACCTCCCGACTGTGTGCGCCGTGTCAGAACGCAACGCGCCAAGCCCGTAAACCGTAAGATGCCGGGATGCGCCGTGATTAAACGCGACAAAACGGCTACCATACACCCTGGCCTGCCGTGAGAACCGTAGCAAACCTTGGCAAAACATGGCAAAACGGGACAAAATGCGCAGCAACCGTCAAGCAACCGTGACAAAACGTGCACTAAACGTGGCGGAACGTGACAAAAATTGAAAAGACCGTATGATGCCGGGGAATGTGCGGGCCTCCCGTCCCACTACGGACCACCTCCAAGTTTTGTTACGGCCTATTAAGGACTGTCACGTTGTGTTACGTTCACCCTGTTTTACTAGGTTCTCATCCGCACCGTGACTGCCGTGGCAAATTTGTTGACAGTTTAAAATTTGAACACGGTATCCACGGGAATCACGGCCTGTCACGTTCGCCCATACGGTCCCCCGCGTTGTGTCACGTCAATCCCGTTTCGTCCACGGTGGCCAGAAACGGGGTTACCGTGGCCGTCGGGAACATAGTGTAAACGTAGCATTAGGCAACCTTTATCCGCACCTGAACAATAGAATCATGGCAAGCCGGACAAAATCAATCAAACTAGCGTTGAGTAGCCGAGCGCACGAATAGTAAAAAGCTACTAGTATATGACAACAAAGCATATAGTTGTTGAGCTCGCCGTTGACTTGTTTGATACTAATGTTGAAGCGATTCATGTACTTGTATATGTCGATGGATTTACTAATTTGTTGATAGCCGAAAATGTAACATCATGTGATATACCCCCCCCCCCCTGTTACACCCACACATGTAATAACGCCCACAAATGTAATAACGCCCACAAATGTAATAACACTTTACCCACAAATGTAATTACACTTTACCTACAAATGTAATAATTTCACCCACAAATGTAATTATTTTGAATCGCCCACAAATGTAATATTGACTTTACCCTCAAATTTAATAATGACTTTACTCACAAATGTAATAAATTTGAAGTGATATTTTGTCGCATTTGTTCAAAGCATGGGGGGGGGGGGGGGGGTCTTAGGGGTCTTAGTTTAAAATTTTTTTTCTTTGTTTTGTTTTGTTTTGTTTTGATTTTGTTTTGTTAACTTTTGAATAACCGGGTCTGGAGAAAAGACTACGCTCAATACTCATGTTCTTCCACAGGAATAAGATGATGGGGTCTTATTTTTGAAGATTTTTAAAAAGTTTTGAAATAACCGGGTCTGGAAGAAAAACTACGCTCTAACTCCATGCTTTATTACCGGGTCTTAGTTTGGAAGATGGTGGGGTCTTTATAGTTTAAAAGTTTTTTTCTTTCTTTTTTACTTTTGAATAACCGTGTCTGGAGGAAAGACTACGCTCGATTCTCATGATGTTCCACAGGATAAGGATTATGGGGTCTTAGATTAGAAGATTTTTTAATTTTTTGAAATAACCGGGTCTGGAGTAAAGACTGCGCGCTATACCCATGCTTTATTACAGGGTTTTAGTTGTGAACAAATTCGACAAAATTCAAATTTATTACATTTGTGGGTAAAGTCATTATTACATTTGTGTTTGATTCAAAATTATTACATTTGTGGGTAAAGTGGTTATTACATTTGTGGGTGAAATTATTACATTTGTGGGTAAAGTGTTATTACATTTGTGAGTGTTATTACATTTGTGGGTAAAGTGTTATTACATTTGTGGGCGTTATTACATTTGTGGGTGTAACACCCCCCCCCCCCCAATTTCTCATTCTCATCCCGTCTGCTCGTAGTATAGTTCTGTACACAAACAAAATTAACATAAAAGGCCGCAACCACAAATTTGTTCACTAATTGCACTTTTTGAAATTCTTGAACACTTTGTAAGGTTTATTTTAAAGCAGGCCTGTTACCGTGACCGCAGAACTAAGTGTTCTTGGGGACGTTTGAAATGCCTACTGAAAATGCTAAAACACTAACATAATACATTTGGGAGAAAGTTAGAGGGTTGTTTTTAAGGCAAGGGGAAATCAGGTTTGCCATCGAGACGGACGACGTACGGGCGCCATACGCGACCAACAGCACACGGTCTGTAGAACCTCCTGAATATCTGAATTGTCAGAAGACCCAAGAGACCGAAGTGTCTGTCATGGTCGGTCTCGCGGGGTTTCTGACAATTAATTTGTTCAGAAGGTTCGCAAGACCGACGTTGTTTGCCTTTTGGAAATGTTGGTCACTTTCACTGACGGTTTACCGAAGGATCTCGATCTTATGGGCTGTTGATCTACCGGGATGACCGGGTTTACCTCTACTTTCAGAGTTTGCTACTTTGATATATAGCAGGACTTTCAGTTTTTCCTTTGGCCCTGTCTTCATTTAAACCGAACGAATTATTGAATTAATAATAACGTTGTATAGATTTTAATTTATAAAAGCCATTTCATACAAATCTTGAACAATGAAACCTAGCTATAACTTGCCAGGTGACCCACAGATTACGATGAATAATCCCACAGCGAGTGCGATTTTAGCCGCCATGTTGAGCAATATGTTCACAGAGCAATTAATGTTAGTAACTCGCGTGGATATTTGCTCATCGGCCTTGCTTTAGGGGTGGGATGGGGAATTTCACTCCCCACGTAAAGTTCTGCCCGCGGATCCATATAAACATTTGTCGAAAAGTTCAAAATAAGTGAGGGGGTGGATATATTGCTTTTGTAATTGTTAATTGACATATTGGTAAAATTTGGGCCTCTTGCGTCTAAACGATAATTGTAGCATAAAGTCGATTAATTATCGATCGTAACAATCTAATATCTAAATCCAATAAACTCCATTATTAATGCAAGTAGACACAATCTTACAATGGATTGTACCTATCTATAACTGATTAACTAATGGTATCTTTTGTGTTGTTCTAAAGGGTCCTGGTCCAATAACCTACACACCTCCCCTGCCTACGCAGGCATATATTACGCACACTCCCTTCAAACTGTTTAAACAACGCCTGTGCGCATTAATTCATTCTGATGTTTACTTTAATATTTGATATCATTAAAATGTATCACTAAAACCTCGTGAGGCATGATCAAAGTCTGTATTCTGGGTCAGTGGCGTAGTTACGGGAGGGGGAGGGGATACGCACTTGCCCCCTCCCACATCGGACGGCAAAAAAAAAAAGAGATGAGTCGAGCGAGGGGAGAGATGGAAGGAAAAGTAAAAAGAACGTCAGATAATATAAGGAGATTGGTTGCTTGAAGATGCTCTTCAAAGAGTCTGATATTATATGACTCAGTAACTTTGGGACAACATGATAAATCTTAAATGAAATCTGTTAAAAAAAAACAGGTCCATTAAACTTATCGGGAAATGCTTTCGGATGATCCGATCTGCGTCTTTGATGTAGCGTACAGCAGGGACGAAAAAGAAATGGAGATAGGAGTGAAAGATAGCAGACATACGGGTGAAGAAACTTAAAGAGAGTACGTTTGAATGTCTGTTTACTTTAAAATGTATACATCCTCCCACTCTAAAGGGGCAATATACATATTCCCCCGGCCTAGTCAATCTTCCCGCTCGCAGTTTGATCATCAAGTACAGCGGTTTTAAACCGGATGCCACAAAAGGATTTTGGTAACTTATATTATAAACAAAAATTGAATAACATCTTCTCCATGGAAGCCAAGCATAAGAAACCGCAAAATGTGTTGGGGCGGATTGACCAGACAGGGAGGGAATTTACCTGTTTCCCCCTGTAGAGTGGGGAAATTTTGCATTAAAAAATGAAACGGACACACATACATATTCTCTCTGTCTCTTTTTCCGTGTGTCTTCTATATATCTTCTTCTTCAAGATAATCTGCCTCCTTCAATACTGAAGATTCTTGCAGATGCCGTATACTCGGCCTGATTGGCGTGTGCAGGTGGACCATTATACCGGGGTTTCCCCCTACTCTTATACGAATAGTGCAAAGGGTTCTTAACGTGCAAGGTTGGGGACTCTCCTGAACACGGGGCCTCCATTTAACGTCCTATCCGAGGGACGGAGTGTTTACCACTTGACATAACCGGCATCTATGAACAAGGGAAGGGGCACGTTAACACACAACGCAGACTTCAGTCATCCGCCTGGGTGAGAGTCGAACCCGGGATTTTTGGTTCGACAGGCAGACGCTTTACCGACTGAGCCAACTCGCCTTTTCTATTTCTTCTCAAGACGCAGATCGGATCACCCATGTCTTACAACGGATTTATTTTATGACTTTTGATGATGTCTCCTCGTGAATAGCAATTTCGAGCAATCTATCTCCTTACATTATTTCACGTTCTCCTTCCTTTTCCTTCATCTCTCCCCTGGCTCTCATCACTCTTTTTTTGCAATTCGATCGGGAAATCATGAGCCCTCCTCCCCCCCCCCCAGCTACGCCACTGTATCTTGATATGATCGGTGGCTCCATATCAAACGTATCAAACATGGCACGAGGAAGACGAGGGTAGATGCTGCAAATTAAAAGTAGGTACAGCGCACCAAAAATAAGTACAACAAACACATGTTATTTGATGATCGCAAGTGATCAAGCTTTATGAAAGCTTCAAAAAAAAAAAAAAAACAGAATTGAAATCGGTCAATGCGTTGTGATTTTATACCATTTTTTTTTAAATCGCAAAATTACCGAAAAACCTGCCAGAAATGGTCAAATTGGCAAAAATGGCAAATTTCGACAAAGTTGACAACTTAATTCATCACTTTCTCGGACACAAATAATAAATTAAATTATCAGACACTAAAATATCATCTTTGTGGTAAAAAATACAAAAAAGAAAATTCAGATATCTATTACCGTTTTGAAAACACTGAGAAGCCAACAAAATAAGTCATTTTTGCCATTTTTGCGAATCTGCAGATATGAAAAAGTTGTGAAAATAACTACTAGTAAGTCCGCCTAATTAATATGCGCATATTTAATCAAATCAAAACCGAACATGATACATCAGTGAAACCTATGTATATCAGACAGGTATGGAAATATATTTTATTTGAAGAAAAAAATCATGAATATTCATCAAATATGCTAATTAGGTCATTTCAGCTAATTTTTATATATATATAGGAAAGTCAAACTGTTCAGTTTGTTGGCATTTTTAAAATCGTATAGATCATAATTATTTACACCAAATATTAACATTACATTCGAAGTATTTTTGCAATGCCAATAAAATATGGCGATGGAAATTACTTGGATTACCGTCGCAGCTATTTCCTCATATGTTTCACAAATTATTCAGAAAAACCGACCAATTGATGAGAATTTGCAGACTTACAGCTACATCACAGTATATTTGTCTTTAAAAAATGTCAGATTTGAGGATTCATGACGATTTTCCGAAAAGCCATTCAACAGGCCATAACATTCCACAAGGACTAAATTGATTCAATGAGTGAAACACATGAGGATATTGCATTTTGTGTACGGGAGTTTTATACATTGAGGGGCATTTTCACCACGTAGTCCAGTAGACGGTACCATAGACCATGCACATGACCTGGAAAAGTTGATAAGTACAAGTTTTTTTTTT